AAAAAAAAAAAAAAAAAAAAACGAGCATGCAAAATCAACTGCCAAGACCAACGGGCCAAACCGAACTTCGGCTGATAGAGTTGTTATTTGAATCGAATTATTTACAAATATAGTTTGGTTTTGATTCGTAAATACTCGAATTAAACGAGGTGATTCGAGCTTATTCATGAATTTCATTTATTTATTCATGAATTAAACTCGAATTTATTTAAACGAGTTGATTGGACGCGACCGTGTGCGTCCGGACGGTTCGCCGGACGCGCAAAAAATAAAAAAAAAAAATTTATAAAGTAAAAAAATATATAAAAATACATGGTCAATTTTCAATGTCTTGTCGATGTCATAGTATTTTTTTGACATTTTTTTGAAATTTTTTTAACGGTCAAAAGAGCCGTAGAAAGTCGAGAGAAAAAGAGTAGAGAGAGAGAGTACTCAAGGGCAAAAGCGTCTAAGGGAGCGGTGACTAGTAATAAGGAGGGGCGGTAAATAGTAATGTCTTATTTAAATTGAACTAGTACGTACCCCGTGCGATGCACGGGATAAAGATATTAAATGAGTTATTTTCGCCTTGTCCGTTTAAGTCTAAAAAGTAATAATGTTATTATCTATTTTCTACCTCTTTTAATCAACGTTAAGTCTAAAAAATTATTAAGCCGCTCTCTGGCAAATATGTATGGAGTTATGTGTTCGTGTCTCATAAATCACAAACATTATGAATAACATTACAAATTATTCATTCAAACTTTTATTCATTGCAAATATATTAAATTAGTTTATATAACAGTCATTAAATACCACTTTAATATATTTATAAATAAAAAGTACATAAAATTTCTGGTGTGTTCAAATTTAAATAATTTTTTATGGGCTCAATTTTAAATCATTCAGACATTTGGTCAAACGTATAGGTGTGTTCAAATTTAAATCATTGGCATTTTGGTAGGTTGAAATTTAAATCATCTACCATGGTACTGTGATGTGTATTATATATATATACAATTTTTTAACAAATAATATGTGCTTTATAAAAATAATAATAATAATTTCACAAGATTTTAAACGTAAAATTTGGTTTTTAATCACAATAGAAAATTCATGTTAAGTTGTATTGAAAAGGTGTTCTGAGATAAAATAATTAAATAAAATAGATGGAAATAGAATGCATTAACTACCTTTGACTTTTCTTACTACTAATTCTAGTAAATAGAATGTCTTTTTATATAAGTATAGAATAGTCGTTGTTGGGGAACTAAAAATAACATAAATTATTTCGTATTTTCATTAATTAATTTTAGATTACAAGTCAATAGTATTCCACTCACTAAATAAATAGATATTTAAATTGAATAAAAAAACTGCTGTTTGTAAACTGAAAAAAAAAAATATTCCGTTGCCGGGACTTGAACCCGGGTCTCTCGGGTGAGAGCCGAGTATCCTAACCACCTAGACTACAACGGATTTGCTATATGTTGGTAACGTTAATTTTATATCCAACCACGTACTTCCGGCGATATAAAGCATAGAGAATTTGACTTTTGACTGCGAAATGAATGAAGGTCTCGAGACGGAGCGCACGCGCCCTTCTCCTACCACTACGCCGCCGCCCTTTCTCCACTGCCGCCAACACCGCCACCCTCTTCAACCGCTACGTCGACCGGAACGACGTCGCCTCATGGAACTCCATCATTGCCGAGCTCGCCCGTTGCGGAGACTCGGTGGAGGCCCTCCGCGCCTTCTCCTCCATGCGCCGCTCCTCCCTCCGGCCAGACCGCTCCTCCTTCCCCTGCGCCATCAAGTCCTGCGCCGCCATAGGAGACCTATTCTCCGGCCGCCAGACCCATCAGCAGGCCCTCGTTTTCGGTCATGCCCCGGACCTGTTCGTGTCCTCTGCCCTCGTCGACATGTACGCCAAGTGCGGCCAGCTGGCGGACGCCCGGAAAATGTTCGACGAAATTCCCGACCGAAACGCTGTCTCGTGGGCCTCCATGATCAACGGCTACGTCCATAACTTTGTCCCTCGGGAGGCCCTGCTACTGTTTAAGGAGCTTTTGGCTAAGGAGAGTGGGGCAGAGTGCGTGGATGGGGTCACCATGGTCTCGGTTCTTGCTGCGTGCGCCCGAGTGTGTGAGAGGAACGTGACACGTGGGGTCCACGGGATGGTGGTCAAGAGGGGTTTGGATCGGGTTTTGGGTGTATGCAATACTTTGATTGATTCGTACGCCAGGTGTGGCGTGGTCGGGTTCTCGAGAGAGGTGTTTGAGGGGATGGAGGAGAAGGATTTGGTTTCTTGGAACTCGATGATTGCGGTTTGCGCGCAGAATGGATTGGGTGAGGAAGGTGTTGGTGTTTTTCGGGCCATGGTGAGTGCAGGGGTCGAGTATAATGCAGTCACTTTGTCGGCCGTGCTCTTGGCTGTTGCACAATTGGGCGCCCTTCGAGTTGGTAAGGGTGCACACAGCCAGGTACTGCTTTGTTGGCTACTGTTAGTTGTTGCTAAAGTTACTAACATAGTCTCATTTCGTGCTTGTGCAAGTTCTCTCCATCAACTCTGCAATATATGTTCTCATTCTTTCAATATCCAGCTCCAGTGTGTGAGGATAACATTATGAAAGAATATTGTTGAAAGCTATCCTTTAAAACGAATGGGTGTATAGAGTGTTTAATTGCAACTTTTCAAATGTTGAGCTAGAATCATGACCGTGTGTTTTGTTTATTTATTTTTTAGTTTGTGCTCTGATGAATTTGATTTTCACTTCTTATCCCAGGTTTTAAAGTTAAACCTGGAGCAAAACGTGTTTGTGGGCACCTCCCTCATCGACATGTACTGCAAATGTGGGAGAGTGAATCTGGCAAGACACACATTCGACACCATGCTTGAGAAAAACGTGAAATCATGGTCTGCTATGATTGCCGGCTACGGCATGCACGGCCACGCAAAAGAAGCCCTCCAACTGCTGTCTTGTATGATACGGGCCGGAACAAAGCCCAATGCCATAACTTTTGTGTCTGTTCTCTCTGCCTGCTGCCATGCGGGCCTCGTGGACGAGGGCTGGCACTGGTTTTCCTCAATGCAGCACAGATTTAACATAGATCCGAGCATTGAACACTATGGCTGTATGATCGATCTTCTTGGCCGTTCGGGCCGTCTCGAAAAGGCCTACAATTTGATCTTGGGGATGAGGGTACGTCCCGATTTCGTCATCTGGTGCTCTCTCCTGGCTTCGTGCAAGATACACAAGAATGTCAAGTTAGGGGAAATTTCGGCCCAGAAATTGTTTGAGCTGGACCCGAACAACTCGGGATACTACACTCTGCTTTCAAATATCTACGCCGATGCCGGCAAGTGGGAGGATGTGAAAAAAACACGAAAGTTTATGAAAAATCAGGGGATTGTGAAATCTCCCGGGTACAGCCTTGTTGAACTAAAGGGTCGAGTTCACGTGTTCTTGGTTGGAGATAGGCACCACCCGCAACATGAGAGGATATACGCGTATTTGCAGGAATTATCTGGGAGGATTAAGGAAGCTGGGTATGTTCCCAGCTTGGAATCTGCTTTGCATGATGTTGACGAAGAGGAAAAGGGATTGGTGCTGCAGATTCACAGCGAGAAGCTTGCGGTTGTTTTCGGGATTATGAATTCGGGTCATGGGTCGACTGTGCAGGTGATGAAGAATATCAGGACTTGTGATGACTGCCACACGACTATTAAGTGGATATCCAAGATTACTGATCGGGAGATTGTGGTGAGAGATCCCAAACGGTTTCATCATTTTAGAGATGGCAGTTGTTCGTGTGGAGACTACTGGTGACTGAGGTTATAACTACGGTGTGGATGATACTATCCCTGATGTGAACAGTCAAAACCAGGATATTATGGTTTTGGGAAATGCTAAGGTCCCGTTACAGTACCATTCCGTTGGGGTTTGTAACGTTAGATCATCATATAACCGTCAGAGATAATTGATCTAACGATTACAAAATCCGACGAAATGGTTCCGTAATATTTTTTTTCCCTCTTCACTTTGTAGTAGGTTCTTTTATCAAAAGTTTTCCTTTTGAGTTACTAACTTACTATAGTGACAAATATTATGGCCACTAACAATGATTATTGTTGCATACCCATCTTTAACATACGTGTTTAGGAGCACCAACAGCCGCAAAACACCACTTACTATATTTTCCCTAATCTGTATCTACTTTATCGATTTTGCTATGAAGCCAACAGTTGACTTTATAAGAGTCAACCTTCTATATACAACAAGTAAACTTATCATATTTTATGATTACTTAAATAACACTAATATAATTTTATTAATATGGTAGACTTATTTGTTGTATATAGAAAATTGACTCCCTTATGGAGCCAACTGCTAGTTTCATAACAAAACCGTCTACTTTATATATCTAGAGACAACCTATTTACTAAAAATAGTAATAAAAAAGTAAACCAACATTTATTGTATTCTATTTTTGGTAGTTTTTATATTTTTAAATTATTCCTAAAAACTCAACCAGCTATATATGCACCCTACATTCATGGGTTTTGTGGATTTAATTATAGTTTTTGTGGATTTAATTTAGATAAATTTCAACTGATGCTTACAATTTTGCAAAAGTTAAATTCTTTCTCATTTTTTATTTAAAAAAACTGATTACCATAAACTTGAGAATTTTAAATTAAGCAAAATACTATCACATATATCTTTTACTAATTGCAACAGATCACGTTTATTAAAAAAAACCGAATTGCATATTAATCGGACTCAATTTCAAATTGAAAATTAAAATTTAAAAATCTCTTATCATTTGACTATTATTTTCTTTAGTTTGAATTTTTTTTAGACATAAAATAGAGTCAGATAATATTAATTTGCAATTCAAAATGAAATCGGATTGGAACATCCTAAAAAATTAGGTTTTGTTTAAACTTTTCTAGAATACAAATTTGAAATTTATTACATACACTTACAAAATAAATAATGATTACATACACTTATAAAATATCATATATATCCTGCTTAATAACTAATTGATTTATTTAAGTTTATCTAGAATCCTAATATAATTTGTGGTGACAGACGATGTACCAAAAGACCAAACAAATAATGTCGTCTACAAAGATGTGTTTAATAATATATAAGTACATTTTGTTTATTCCAATACATGCATTTTACATTTTTTCAATTATCCAAAATCTAAATATTTACTTTAATAAAACTAGCTCGTGCATCACATTGGGTACCGCTCTAGTTTATTCATAAGAGGAGCATCTAGCTAACGAGCCCACATAAATCATCCATGGTCAGCTTCTGGCATCCCTGACCGCCCACACCACGCAGCTTGGCTTTCAATCCATGGTCAGCTTCTGGCATCCCTGACTGCCCACACCACGCAGCTTGGCTTTCAGGCCAACGTGCTCGCCATCGTCATTGCCATTCGCCTTAGCTGTCATATCAATGAGTAATTCATCTTCACCGATATTCTCATTTTCAAAATTTCCCTAATTTTACAACTTTTCACTCTTATCCACACATTTAATAACATACAAATTAAACTCATTATTATTTATATTTAATTGAATAAATAAATAAATTGCACATTTGTTATGTGTTCATATAAAAAGACATTGAATACATAAAAAATAAACTAATTATAAACTGATAATTCATACACATAAGAAATAATAAAATACATATTTATTTTGTACATTCGATTGAAAGAATAAAATAAATCAATTATAAGTCGATCATATGTGCTCATATATTACAATACCTACATGTAAAATAAGAAAAAAAAAAAAAAAATCTAGTTTGCCTACCTTAAAGTTTGAAATATTTTAGAAGAGTATAACTATTTTTTATTATAACTTAGTTCAAAGCTTTGGTATGCATGTTATGAAAATATTTTACAAATAATTTAGGATGTTAAGAAAATAGTTTACAATTTTTTTTTTTTTCTAATCCTCGGATCTAATATACACACTACACATGTATTTGTATATTTCATACCATAGTTATTTCTTAGGAGTAAAATAAATAAATATATAATAAAGATATTATGATTAGAAAAATTATTTTTTATTATAATAAACAATAATTTAAGTAAAAAATACTTTATTTCAATCTAAAAACAATAATTTAAGTAAAAAAATGACTTTATTTCAATTTAAATATATGATAAAAGAAAGAACTGATGTCACATATGTTAGTTCTTGTCATTGGTAGTTCTTCAGACTTAAAAACTCATATTTTCTACCAATCCCTGATTGAAAATATTATCTATTTTTTCTTACCAAAATAATCATCTATTTTTTCTTACCAAATTATACATTGACATGTAATAAATTTAAGTTTCTATATTTTTCTTAAGTTTCACTCTAATAAATTTATTGCGTAATTCTATATTTCTAATTAATATAGTAAAATAATAGTATTAAGGTAAGATATATGGATGCCTGTTAGTACACTGACGGTGAAATGTACGAGAAAAATAATATTTAATAATATTTATGAATTAAAAATATTAAGTTAATTTATAATACAATTTACTTAAATAAATTTATTGAAAATACTATATGAAATTTAACTTATGTAAAAGAACATGAAATATATTTATCTAAAACAGTGAAATTACCTAAAATATTACAAGTGTACAAAAATATAAAATGTTGTTTACAACTTTCAATAAATACAAAACAGGTATCTACAATTGTATATTCGAATGTTATATAAGTGAAGAAATACTTCATATGTTGTACACAACTTCCAA